ATATAGTAATAATAACTATTACATTACAGCATCATAGCACAAAGTGACAGTTGATGAATTCTGAACATACGGGTTTCACTTCAATCCAAAAATTATTACTTCAAACACTCTCAGTGTCACCTTCAAAATTTTCTTTGCATCTCTTTACTGGGTGTTAGGTAACGAGATCCATGATAGTTTATAAGTTTACTTTCTATTCTTCTTTGGGGGGGAAGTTTGGTGCCATTTGTTATATAGCTTACAGAGGAAGCCAAACAATTTGTTAACATGAGAAAAATCCACAAATAAGCTACACACGTGTAGCCAAAGAACAGAAGGGATTTATGCTATTACTGTACTACGGACAGAAACAACTTCTAGATTTAAAACACATTATTATCTTACATAACAGTATACCAAAATACATTTAACAACTCAGTACAGTACACTTCATACAGGTCCCATGTTGCATAATGCCTTGGCTTCCAGTTAAATGTCAAAATGTCTAAAAACAAAAGCATAATGCAGAAGTATTGGAGGAAAACGTACATAAATAAAATTAAGCCAATGAGCAGAAAAACTTTAGAACCATCCAAAAAAATTATTTCTTTCACAACCAATTAAAACAGAATCATATCAGCTCAACACACTGCAGTGTCCTAACCAAAAGCACATTTGGTACTTCATCCAAAACTGTTTATACCCTGGCAACCGTTAGTGCTCTCAACACATGGAAGTTAAAAATATCAGACTTCAGTTTTCTTTCAATGATTAATTTTGTGTGTTCTGACATGTAGAAAAACAATATAAATCAAAATATTTTGGCTTGGGTTAAGAAACTTAAAATAAACCTGAGATTATACAAAATTAAAAATTATTGTTAGACCCCTTTCCCTGTACGGCTGCTAAGCCAAACAATTACTTTGCAAACCCAACACTGAAAGGCTGTAATTTTTCTTCTTCCCCTCTTGTTCACTAACCCTTCAAAGGAATTTTGTCATTGAATTGCATCAACCTTGACAAAGCCCAACAAATGTCAATGGTCTAGATACAGATATCTAATTCCCAACAAATGAATTCACATGTGTAACTCTAGATACAACAAGAAATATTTTGGAGGCCTCAGAAATGAAAATGCCAGCCAACCACAGACAATGTTTTCTCCCATTGGCAAACTCCATCATAACAAAATACCTATGTTTCATGAATGCAAGCATCTGAAGTCAACATACAGATATCTTATCTAACAAAATGGCACCTTAATAAATAAAGTTCTCCTGTACAAATGAAAAAGACTGACACAAACATGAAAACACAGTGTTCTCTAAAATAATGAAATTACAAGTTTTTGTGAAAATGACAACAGTATGTGTGTGACGTATTAATGGGACATCTTGAATATTGCTAGTTCAAACAAATAATGCACTGAAGATTATGGACTAACAAAATGTGATTTAAGAAAACACAAACTAAATTTCCTCAAAATGCATCTCTTGATCATAATAAATGATTAGATACAAAAATACATCAACAATACAGTAGGTTCTCATCACATAATCAACTCATACATACTCCTATGCACATTGATTCCGAACTCCACAGTAACACAAAACTAGGAACCTTTAGAGAAACATCTCAATAAAGGGAGAAAAAATAATTAACAATGACTTTGTACTTTGGTTGAATGAGGCAAAATGAAAACATTCACAAAGGAAATGAATGACTGGGACTTACCTATTTTAAACTGGAGGGATAAAAGGAGAAGAAAAACAGAAACAGAAAAGCTTTAACTACACACTTTACACATGACAAGTACCTTTGCTCCTGGAAAAGAGCCATCACACTTAATCAATTACACCATCAAGATACACAGCCAAGTGGTTTCTGAACGCTTCAGAAACCAATACAGTCACAGGTATTAATCCACTAAATTAGTAATTATAAAATTCAATTACCTTCTAAATTAATCCACCTTGAGGTATTGGAATTAGATGAGTCTAAACACTACAGACAATTTATGATGTAATTTAGTGCTACTCAATTCTACCCATATACTCATAAAAGCAGTAGTAGTGCATCAGGAGCCAGATAAACCTGTAGCCAAAAACAAGCATGAAAATATTGATAAAATGAGTATAGGTTATCCTTCAGTGAATAACTCAGCCAATCTTTTCACTATCCAAAAGACTTAATGCAGTAAGGTCATCTTGACTTGTCAAAATGCAAGAGATAGCAGTTGTGGTACCAAACACTTCTCTTTGTCAGATTGCTTAAAAACAAAATATTTATACTAGACCAGCAACACATAAACCATTTCCACAAAACCCAATAAAACAAAATCCTACCACAAAAAAATTCGATAGAATTCACTTAAACGTGACAGATTTACAGAACAATATCAATATTAAATGTTAAGCAAATTATGAATTATCAAAGTACCTCTTCTTAAGTGGTGGAAGGAGTCTAATTTCTACGTCTCTTAGAAGCAGGACTTGGAAATCCTGGACTTGTTGGCAATACAATAGGAGTGTTTACTTCTGGTAAAATAGGAGATGAAGGTGGTGTTGATCGTCCATTGTCACCATTCCAGATTTCTTCTAGATCCATAAAGTCTGGCTGGTAATACATGAGCTCATTCCCTAAAACATGAAAGGAACATTTTTATTATACAAACCAACACAACAATAAAAAATTTAGATTTACATATAGCCCCACAAACACCTTACCGGACGCGTCCATTTTAGAGGTGAAACTAGATCCGTCTCCTTCTGGCATCATTGACTCGTCAGGGTTAAAAAGCTATAAAAAAAATGAAATAATAATAGTGAGATTCTTGTCATAAGACAGGGATCAAGTTTTGAGCCCAAATAACTCAGTGAATAACAATTTTAGGGACAAACAAATTATTCCTCACCCCAAGTAATGTGTTGGCATCAAGTTGAATTCCACTGCTGTTTAGAAAATCTTTCAGCGTCCCAAGGTCCGCATCCATTGCCCCAACATGATGATCAAGGTCATCTCTGAAAGTGAATATTTAACTCATTCAAGTTAACAGCCCATTTAGTTTTGCAAAGCCACACCTAAGTGTTTGTAAGATTAGGAGCATCTGAAAGTAACCAGAGTTAGATCTTGATGGTAGCACAACCATCGCTACCTACATCATTGGACATAAATAACATTTAAAAATGCATCACTTAGAACACAATAGCTTTCACTAGGTAAAAACAAAGCTATCATTAAAACCAGCCACTAAATGCAAAAGTAAAAGTGAAAGCAAGTGCCCAAGGAATATTATGAGAACCAGAATTTTTTAAATAGCATGTTTATGAATATCTGTCTTCCCCATTAATTGTTAGATTATAATTGATTTTCAAAAAAATTAAAAGATGGAAATTTGAAAAAAGCATTGCTTTTGGATACCTAATGAATAACAGATTCCGTAAATTCAGGCATAGTGTATGATAAAACTGCTTAATAGACGACACAGGTTTTTCGAGGGATTAAAATGGCAGGATTAAGATTTAACTACATCACAGAAAAATCCTCCACCAGAACCAAATTTTTGTGGATTCTATTGACCAGAATCTCTAAAATCAGTAAAACTCTCAAAATATGCCTGGGTTTTGTGTTTCAGATGCATTTTGTAGTACGTGCTAAGTTTCTTTAATTGTCTTTGTGGGAAAAGGGCGGTCAGTGGCAGTATTTTTACTCTTTTTAACCTTTTGGCCGTCAATGAGACGGTGTGGAGATGAGACAAGTCCAATGTTAGAGAGCTCAATATTGAAAGAAAAAAAAAGAAAAGAAAGGAAGGTTATCTTAAATTTTATGCTGGAATTTACGGTAGTTAAAACGGCATACTTACATTGCAATTGGGCTAGAGCACAAATGCAGCTAGCTCCTAAACAGAAGTGATATGCAGTCGAGAAAAGACAACTGAAACACTTACAATGTAATGCTTTTCAGATGCATCATGATTAAAAACTGTGCTATAGGTGGTGAAAATTAAATTTAAGTAGCCGAATTTACAATAAAATACTAACAGACGAATTTATTGCTGTGAAGGGTTGCACTAGTTTCAAATGAGAATAATTACTTTTAAGCTACAAGTGACAGTCAGTCGAGGGAGGGGTACAACAAGCATATCACTTCTGCAATCAGAACTTAAAAGTATAACTCACTTTCCATTGATGTCACACCTATTAAAAGATGACTTGAAGGATGGTGTTGGTGATGTTCCCTCCTGTGACGTACAGGCTAGGGTCATATCATACGGAGATGACAGATTTCTGACGGGAGATGGCTGTGGAGATACCTGTTCTGCTGCAGTATTGGAGGGGAACTGTGCAATCAACGGACTAGTGACATCGGTAATGGTAGGACCAGCTGATAAAGGTGACATGGAAACTGACTGCATCATACCTAAAATTGAAAAAACAAAACAAAAAAAACACGAAAATAAACGGATATTGTAGATTAAGATTTAAAGTTATTCTACATCTACATGATTAAAGTACAGTGAAAGCCGCTTGTAACGTTTCCCGTATACCGTATCCGCGTTAGAGCATTTAACCGGATTCAGCGTTTCCCGCATATAACGTTGGGATTTCGGCTCACGTACGGGTGACGTTATAGGCAGCTTTTATTGTAGTTCAAGGACACTGCACAACATAGGATTTAGATGCATATTAACATATTCTATCAAAGCTACTCGCACCACATGCATCAGCCATAATAAGCCTACAAAACTAAAATACCTCGATCAGAAAAAAAAGAAATCAGTATCTTTATTTCGCACTCTGCTTTACAATCATCAAGGAAATCAAAAGATTAAAGTGGACATTCTTTTAAGGGAAAAATTTAGCGGACAGTCCAGAGAAAGAATTATTGATTGTTTATCTTACTTTTACAAGTTAGAAAGAAGAGGAAATAAACATATTTCAACCTTTGAGGTTTAATTCAGTTTCAAACATACTGCAATGAGAAGGTGATGAGGATACAGGTGAGTGAGCTACTGGAATAGGAGACTCCGGGAAGGCAACAAGCTGATTGACAGGTGATGCAACTGATCCGCATATCGAGCCATCTGTTAAATAATACACCAAGTAGAGCACTCACTACACAAACCAACACAAAAAACAGAAAAAGGGTAGTTTTAAAAAGAAGGTGGAAAGCCTTTCCCTGACTGAGGGTAATGAACATCTAAGCATGCACTATATAAATACAAACAAATTAAAACACTACCACATCAGAAAAAAGTGAAAAACTTACTTGATCCATCAGTGATAATGTTGGGTGACCCTGACATGATGGTGTTTGTTGAATCAGTAACAAGTCCCAAATCAGCAAGAATGTCAACAGGTTCATTCCTAGACAAGTGAGGGGAAAAGGGGTTATTTGGTTCATACAAGTAAGTAGTGAAATGAAAAGATACAAAATTGTTATAAAAGACTTACTGAATTTTTGGAGTATCGTTCCGGGACGCCAATGCAGAGTTCTTGTTGCCTTGCTTCCTCTTTCTACCACGAGGAGGAATAACTCTTGGCTCTTTCTTTATTGCTGGCTGAGAGTCATCAACTGTATTCTTCATGTCTTGATAAGACCCAGCTTTACTACCACCTGACAATACTTTGCTAGAATTTGCCACACTTCTCCTAGTAGACACAGATCTTGTTGGTGCAGACCTGGAAAGTGTCTTTTGTGGTGCTGTTTGAACAGCAACTTGTATTGTTGGCTTGCCCTGAAACCAAGTATTTGTTAGAAAAAAAAGCCAAACTTAAGAGCCACATCTTCCTAAAACTCCTCACACAGTTCAATCTCTCAATCTTAAACAAATGGATTTACAGAACAGCACAAGCTTAAGGTGCTGATACCTTGCCAGTATGAAGTCCTGGTACTACAATTGAAGGGTTCAGTTCAGTGGGAGGCACAGCAAGAAGTAATTCAGGACTAGGTGAAGTTGTTTTAAGACCTTTCTCTGACATCTCTTCCCCAATAGAATTTACCTCCAACAGGGGCACATGAAGACTTGTAGTCTGCTCTTGAAGACGGTCCAGAACTTCTGAATCAGGACTCAAGATTTCAGGTTCCAAGCTAAATAATTCAATTGTTGGAAAACGCAGAAAATGTCAGAAAAAAATACCAAACTTGTATTTAAAAAACTGGTAAAAGAGGAACTAACCCAGCATCAATTACTTCTGCCAACTCAGAACCAGGCACATGGAGGGTAATGGTATTAGAGGAATCAGAATCAATCTCAGGCAATATTGATTCGGCATCCGGTAATATTGAATCATCCAGCTCATGAATGGTTGGTCCTGATGAGGACCGCGACATAATCTGAGAGGCATGTAGGGAGTCACGTAATGATACAACTAACTCCCTCTGAAGCTGCAAAATATCCATTTACTAAGCAATACAAGGCAAGGCAACAACTTTGTGGGAAAGGAAGGATTTTAAAAGATAGGAGATAATATTTTTTGAACTAATCTTCTTTAAAGCAACTTTATGTTGAACATAAACTCACAGATTAACAGGAAAAAAGAAAGTAGTAAGGTATGAGAGAATTAGTAAAACTGCTCGATAAAAACAAAGAAAAATTATTCCACCCTTTTCTTAGGGTACATACTTCATTTAAGGTATGATATGAGACTACTTACATCATTAGGGTCCTTGTTATTTGATTTTCCACTAGGATGAGCTACATTGTTGATCATCAAAGGATATCTTCTCTTGTTTAACCTTTGAGATGGCTGTACTAAAGTTACTAAAAATTGGATGAGCTGGAATAGAATTAAAATGCAAGATTTTAAGAACCAAAAGTATCAATATTAAGTAGATTTTAAAACCAAATAATTTCAAAGTATAAAAAGTATTGCACAATGAAATGTACACCACCTTATTTACAATAGTTTGTTGCTTAAGGTGTTTTTGTCTTAGTAAGGACAACTCTCTCCACAAAGCCTCATTCTCTTGCTTCATTGCTGTGAGGCGGTTCTCAACTGAATCTTGCCTCCCTCGCATACTTTTAACTTCAGATAATATTTTGTTCATATACTCTGCTTTTACAACAACTCCTCCATTAGTGGTGTCTTTTCCATCATCCAGCTTCCCAGTAAGTATTTGAGACTAAAAGTAGAAATATTAAAGTTAGACAAAACAGAGGTTATGCAAGGGATAAAAACTATAGGCTTTCATAGATACCTTGCCAACTTTTCTTTTAATATGCTCTAGAAGATAGGGGTGACCTCTTAAGAAACATTGGTGAGCAAATTCCATTTCATCTTTGTCAAGGCGCAGACTTCCAGCATCAGCAGAAACAATTTTGTGAAAACCATCTAAAATAAGCAAAACATAAATCAATTAAAACTGTAATAATTGTTTACCAACTCACAAGAAATTAAAAAAGTACATGTTGAGACCCAGCAATGTCAGCTTTAGCAGCTTCATTACTTATATCTACTAAAAGTAAGCTTACACATATTTAGCTGTCGAATGAAGCTGGCCATATTGTTGTGCTTGTAGTACATAGGGAGAAGCCTCCTCGCAAACTGGGCCTGGTCTCTGATGTAAAAGCTTGTGCCCTCCTAAAACAACAAATGATAAACAGGAATGTTATAGTACAGAACATTATCAAAAAAAGGATTTTAAAAGTTGATTCTATTAAGCTGTTTTCCTTAAACTTTGTGACAAATGTCTAAGATAAAGTAAAGTTCAAGAAATGTCTAATTGCATCCCATTAAATTAAGTGTGCAGTTTTTGAATGATCCTTGATTATACTTGAAATCCCTTTAAGACATATTTTAAAAAGCTTATAAACTGATCTTGAAAGGAATTGGAGGCATCCCCATTCTTTTATCTCCAGAACACAGCACTCACAGCTGACTCTCTCCAACCCAGCCTCCCCTCCCCCACCCCGCCCCCCTCCTCTCACTACATGAATACATTCTATATTCTCTGGCATTGACAAACCTACAAAACAAGAAATAAGTGTCAAGCGTACATGTTGCAACCAAAACTAGACGAATAATGCGGATGACACTAAAAGCAGATTTAATAGTTAGTCTGCTCTGATACTTCAAAATAATCAAACCAAAAAAGGCAATAAAATGTCAGCTGGTTACGACGATATAAGGGTCACTGAATGATGAAACATGCTTAACAAGTTTTAGCAAGGGTGTAAGAACAGACATTGAAATCTTTAGTTAATTTCTACAAAAAATTGTAGCGTAGATGAAACGGTGTCCTTGAGTATGAACGGTCATTCGTGTTAATAGCGAAGAAGTACAAATCGCGTAGAAGGCTAGGCTCACCTCCGTCCAACTTATCAATTCATTCGTTTCTGGGTCGTCCACTAGTTTCCACAACTTAGCCAGGAAAGCAGGGACATTCGCCCCGAATTCTGATAACGAATGCATGTCGTAGTTAAGGTTTCACACGAAATATCAAATATTTTCAGCACAGACGGTTGAATTCATCACTTCACAATATCATGGCGAGACATGCGCGGAAAAGGTGCGCACTGGCAAAGTTTTGTTGATGGTTGTACTGGAGACATTGGTCACTTGTCCGGCCAGGATAGTAGTTTTCCAAATTAACTATTTTCACCACATTGATTGCATCTCCACCGATCGTTTCGAATCGCACGTGAAGTACAAAAATTATTTGTTCTTTTAATGCGTATTTTCGAGGGTTCAAGCGGCTCAAACCCGATTCTTCCAATCGCACCCTGTTTTACCGACCGGGGCTGTTTCGGCAATATTTCCAAAATTAGAGGGGGTTGTCGCTAAATAAGCAACGTTTTATGACGCAATATGCTTTTCTCATCTGTTTTCAGTGCTAATGCAGGCCGATGTTTGAAATGTGGTACTAAATAGTTTGGCAAACAACATAAACATGAGCGACAGAGAGGGATGTCACGTTGCAGCGCACATTGGGCCTCCGCGGCTCACGTTGAGCCCCACGTGTGCCCCTGCCGCCCCCGTCTTCCCCTTCACTTTCCCTTTCCCCTCGCTCGCCCAATCAAGGACCGGCTGAGTCACGGAGCCAGTTTGTGGCGCGGCCAACAGATGGCGCTCGCAGCTCCAAAAACCTTCTGCGGTAGTGTGGGCGTTGCCAACGTGCAATATAGAAGCGTCTATTGCGTGTTCATTTCAGCTCAAGATGCCCTTTCTTTTAGGGATGAAATCAACTTGGTGTAAATGAGAACATGTATTCTGTGAGTTTGCCGGCGGGACTTTCCATCGCTGCTCCGTGTACGTCATAGTTGAATCAAAGTGATGTTGGCATGGAAGTCACTAGTCTTTGGCGCTGCTCGCCAGGTCTCGGCGGGGCAGGGGCAAAGAAGGCTGCCTGCAGCAGAGCAGAAATGCAAGTAGTAGAACATCCAACCTGGGGAGGGGTTAGCGCGATCGGGTGTGCGTGCAGTGTGAGAGAACTCATGTTTATGTCTGTGAAGTGCCGTGTTTTTTCGCTGTAGCCCGCTGGGATTTTGTTTTTTAGTCGGTAGTGTACGTCCCTACCTACTCAAGGATAAAGTTATCTACTCTTCACAACCTGCAGGTAAATATTATCAGTGTTTTCGTGTCCGCTCTCTTCGAGGTCCTTAGAAGGATCAACCGGCTGATCGAAGGGCTCGTGCGTGGTTCTGTGATTTACCACTGAGTAGTCCCCAACGAAACGTGGCGTGTTTAATTCATGTGTTTCTGCAGCGAACTTTATTTCTCTTGTCAAGTCCGGATGATATCCTTACCGGTTTTTCATTAGGATCGTAAGACAAGTATGCAATGTACATAGTTAACCCTTACCTGTCTCTTCCGCGAACAGACCGTCTGTGTACATTTTTCTCCATAATGTTGAATATCTGTGCTTTTGCTCTTAATTTTCGATTTTATAAAACTTAATGATTAATAAATCTCTCAGGAACTGCCCACGTTTAGTGCCAAAGTTTCATGATATCTCAATAATGTTATTAACGTTAACACATTTAATAACAGTAATATAATACTAAAATGTTACGGGGTGAATTACTGTCATCTCAAATTTTAGTATTTCTCTGATTGTCCATTGCATGTTTTTTAGCAAATATTATTGAACAATGTGGGTGGAATGAACCCCAAAGTTACAAGACTTCAACAGGACCTAATTTTTCAAGAAAGATATTATTTTTTCTTAATGCTTAATTTGGCACAATGCTTAATATCACATGATGCACTATAAGTGCTGAATAAACTTGGAAAATGCTCTTAGTTTTCAGAATAGTCTTCATTAATGAAGCCTTCTCTGCTTAAGAGTGTCATATGCCCTCAAATTTACTTCCCAGTTTCCCAGTAAACAACAACCTGTCTCTCTTGGTCGATCATCCCTTCCTGTTCCCCTTCCTACCTCGTCCACCCTTGTAGGACCACCGCCCCCTCCCCTTCCCCTCGGATGCTGTGCCAGCCTAAAAGGGGCGCCGTGAGGAGTGGCTGTCAGCCTCACGCTACGCCCCGCCCCGCTACGCACCGCCACGCACCTCGGGCTGCTGGCGAGGGTCCTACTCCACAGTGGACAGCGCAGGGGAGGCCCCATCAAGCCCCACCGCGCCCCGCCGCGCCCCGCCGCGCCCC